TGGAAATTGAAGCTTTATTGCCATATTGGTAATAAAAAGTGGAATAATTACCTTTTGAATAAAAATATATGTAAAAGAGGTCTTGTTAAATTTTAATTTAAAATACATTTAAGAATAGTGTAATCATGGTTGTGTTCTTCAAAAACAGAATTCAGTTAAATTAGGATTAATTTCAAAATATAATCTATTTCATAAAAGGTCGTTTTTTGTATATTTTGAGTGTGTGATGAAATTAAGTTGAATGACATATTTTGGCCATATAGAAGAATATAGGACAACTTATGAAAGTTTATTGCTTTTTCTCAACTAGATGAAGACTTTGCGTGTATAGCTGCGCCTTCAAGCAAAAAGTCAAGAACACAACTCAGGGAACCAAAGACGGAGAAAAAAGAGAAGCAAAAAAAGCCACCGAAAGAATTGAGTCCATCGCAAAAGCAGACACCTAGTAAAAGGTAAGAAATGTTGGAATGTGGTCAACTCTCTGTCAAGCTGGATTTCGGTAACAGTGAATGTTTTTGGCTTACTTTTCCCCCTCAGAGTTTTAAACAGCTGAAGATAAACAATTAGCCTATTAGTGTGATAAAGGTTTTCAGCTTTATTGGTATTGTTGTAAATGAGGGATAACATAATTAGGCACAGAGTCGGGAATACTTGCCTGAGTTCAGTGGTGAGCTGTGTCTGTTTCATTACAGCACGAAAGGACTCTTAGATTAATTCTTAGATTAGATATCAGGAAGAAATTCTTCCTGGACAGGGTGGTGAGGCACTGGAACAGGTTGCCCAGAGAAGCTGTGGGTGCCCCATCCCTGGCTGTCTTCAAGGCCAGGCTGGATGAGGCGTGGAGCACCCTGGTCTAGTGGAAGGTGTCCCTGCCCATGGCAGGGGGGTTGGAACTGGATGATCTTTAAGGTCCCTTCCAACCCAAACCATTCTGCGATTCTATGACTCCAGCAAGCAGCCTGCACCTGCAGGAACACGTTTGCAGGTCTGATCCTGTCTCCATACCTCTACACTGCAAAATAACTTTAACAATTCTGAGTTACTCCTAAAACTGAGAAATACAAAGGCAAGTTTGACTCCTTAAAAAAGAACATACTGAAAACTTGATAGAAAATACAAAGTCAGTGTCAATGAAAAAACTGATCTGATTATTTTGGTGGTGAAGTTGTGTATGAATATTACATTTCATTTGGTGTTGAAGTTGTGTATGGATATTGCATTTTAGGTTGGTATTTCAAACAAATATCATCGCCTTTTTCTGTGATAATACCAGTTATTAGTTTATATATATATATATATAATCATAGAATATATACACACACACAGAGTTTTGAAATGATAATATTTTAAAATATAGTATGCTTTAACTATTAGTGTGTATTTTGTCTAAATCTTTTCAGGAGGTAATATTCACAATGTGATGTGCTATAAGTATGTATGGAAATATTCATCTCTTTACAAGTATTTTGAATTTTAAAAAATTCAGTAAGTCACAAATAGATCTATAACACTTATGTCATTGTTATATTATTTAGCATGTGTTTTGGGTTTGTTTCCAGGATATCCTTGGATGACAAACTATATCAAAGAGATTTGGAAGTTGCCTTAGCCTTATCCGTCAAAGAAAAATCTGCAAATATCCTTGAGGTCCAAAATCCAGAAGAACAAGGTTATTTTACAGTTCAATGCCATACCCTTTATTTATATGTTGTGAATTTGAACATAATTTATTTTACAGTGAAAAGGGTTGAAAGAAATGTTTTATTTCAAGATGTCATGATAAGGAAACAAAGATTTCTCGGTAGTGCCTGTCTTCTTATGTTCTTGGGGTTTTTTATGTGAAAATTAACTCTTAAAGAAGATTTTCCAAACATACAATTTGATTAGAGACATATAAAAACGTTAGCTCTTTTCATTTCTTAATATATTGACTTCTAATAATGTGGGGTTTGTATGCTACCATTTTTTATTATTGTTTGTTTGTTTTCTGGATCCTAAAACAGGTAAGAATGTGGAATCAGAAAATGGACATGGGAGACCTCTTTTTTCCAACTGCAGTGTAGACAGTAAACTTTTAGGTAAGTTCTTCTCATACTCTGTTTTTTCAGAAACAGCATTTCAAGATGGATTTAAGTAGCTTATCTCTGTTTCCATTGGTTTCTGGTTTTCTCTTCTGTGGAAAAAAAAAGAGGGTATCTTAAATACAGGCTGTAGAATGAAGGATGCATTAATTTTGTCACAAAGAATTTGGTCCTAGTCTTAAAATAGTGGATTGCTGAAAACATGTGGATTACTGAATGAGATTGTTACAGGTCACTAAATGTTGGTTATAAAAAGTAACAGACGTGATGTTTTTAGATGCTGAGTTTACATACTTCTTCAAGGAGCCACACTTACCCTCCACTCCTTGTTGGGTCCATAATGCCTAAGCATCAAATAAACATGACCAAAACATTTGCTGTGCCATTGGAAACTTTTTCATTTTTCTAGCTTAATTTTGGTTTCTTGTCCTGTCGTGCTTTAGAGTTAGTTTTAACTCTGTTCCAACTAAAACCGGCACATTTCCTTTTGTTAGCTTCATTACTGGTAAATTTTGCTGACTTTCACAACCAGAAAGTGTGGTTTGGTCAGTTGAGAGTAACACGAGAGTCACCTGAAAACAAGTGCCGATGATATGCTTGTGTATAGTGTAATTCAGAATCACAAAAATGAATTCTGGGGACTCAAATACCTGATCTTTTTTTGAACAGGAGAATAGATTTTCTGTGAATTTGAAATAGTTAGACAACCTTCTGTTTTCTAGGTCTCGATCAGGTTATGGATGCTGACGTACTTAGGGATGACTGCGGGCAAAGGACAGCAGCCTCTAAAGTTGCAGCAGATCGGAAATTACTGTCCGTTGGCAGTGATGACGGAGAGGATGCTACTGACTCTGAGCCAGATGCTGTACCCAGTAAGTTCTCGATAAACACTCTCTCCTTAGATGTGCTTTGAATGTGATGGCTTACACTTAGGTTATATTTTCTTTCTCAGTTCAGCATATACATGTGTGAAGATTTGTTTTACTACAGCCTTAAGATATCCTGGTTCTTTATGTCCAGAATGTGATTAGAAGGCCCTGGAGTAATAGTAAACTGTATTTCCTGTGAAGACATGGCATCCGTATTCCTTGCTGTAGGTGAGGAGTCAGAAGAGGATTCAGATTATTGTGAAGGTGATGATGAAGACTTTGCTGTGGAAAAGAAGAAAGCCAAAGGAAATAAAAAGAAAACCAAACAAAAGGTGCCAGCTGTAAGAGAGAAGACGACTTTCAAATCCAAGATTAATACTACAGGTGAGTTTGTACTATAAATTTGAAATAGACTTCTTTATTATAAAAGTTCCTTTTATTTGCACTGAAAGACTAGTGCAAATTCAGACAAAAGTGGATAGACAGATTTAATTTCTTTTTGTATAACTGTATCTAGCTTTTTTGAAATAGACTTCTTTACAATAAAAGTTCCTTTTATTTGCACTGAAAGACTAGTGCAAATTCAGACAAAAGTGGATAGACAGATTTAATTTCTTTTTGTATAACTGTATCTAGCTTTTAAGAAAAGGTTAAATAACAGTGGAGATTTTTAAATCCTCAGATTTTTAAAATCTGAGGATTTTTTAAAAAGGAAGGTAATCTCAGAGCCTCATTTTGCAACTGCAGTTATGAATTTTTAATTCAAGGATAGCTAAACGATGCTAGTTCTACTAACCACCTTGTGAAAAACATCAGTTATACATGCCATTCAGAGTTAATTGTTCACTGTGTGAACAATTTACTTATCATGGTGTTAATCTTGGGTCTGACTCAGTAATGCATTTTAATTTCAGGCCTCAGTTTACAACATGTAATTTAGTTTAAAATTAGTTATGACAAGGAATGGTTTGCTTTGTGTAGCTGCATCTTCCCCCTTAGAAATTTGGTATCTGGCAGGTGTTCAAGAAGAAATTACTACAATGCTTATTTTCAAACAGCATTGAAATTCCGGGGTGTGACAGGACTGACTATAAATATGTAGGTTAAAGAGGTGACAATCTAGCATCATCCTCATTATGTCACTCGTTGCAGAGAGCTCGTGCTGTGCAATGATCTGAACTCTTAAGGTAGTGTGGTGGTTTCTCTGCTAAAGGGTATCCTTCTAAGGCTGCTTTTATTTTTCAACTAAGTATCACCTGTAGTTTCTTCTTCACGGATAACGGAACAAAAATGTGAGCCAGCACAAAAGATGGTGTCCAGTCCTTCAGAACCAGTTGGGAGGCCTTTGCATACATCAAGTCCTGTAACTGACAGGAAGCCCAAGTGGATACCACCAGGTACCTGTAAGATTGTAACTGTAAACAGATACATTAGTTGACTTAAGTTTTTAGCACTCTCTTCTAAAAGCAAACAAACAAACAGTATTTTTTTTTTAGGGAAAAGTGTTCCTTTGACCTTAGCTTTTCTCTCTTTCTTAAAATCTGTCTCCATGCTTCTTGTCCTCTTGCAGCATTATCCAGAACTCCTTTATGTGGGGAGGTTACTAATATATTTTCCAGGGTGTGGATCAAGTCTTAATCAAGAGATTGTCTTGGGGCCATTTCTCTCTTAATAAGAGCTTTCTCTGTCTCTGGTACGTGCTGCATTATTATCTAATCTAAAAAAATTAGTATTAGAAAAACATTGGAGTGTTTTAACTGCTGTAGTAAAGCAAATGTTTAGGCGCTTTATTTTCTTCAGGTGTTTGGGCATGCTGCTGCTGTCTCCTGCCTCTTCCTTTCATTTTCCTTCATGCTTACTCTTCTGTACACGTTTCTTTCTGTTGGGCTCCTTTCTGTTAAAGCTATCTTCTCCCACTTGGAATTGTGGTCAATTGTGTGATTCTCTGTGGAGCACCTGAAAATGTGCACCGGGAGCAGTTTTTATGTGCTTGTCCAGTGTCACTCGAGTGTGTTGCTGGTTACTTAAAACCGTGCACCATACCTGCTGCATTGGCTCCCAGATGGATTCCCAGTGGGTACACTGGTTTTCGTGTGCCTTTGTGAGATGTTGTTCAGACCTTTTTGCAGTACCTTTAGAATACTGTTTTTGTTCTGCTGTGAAAACTGTAAGAAGACAACAGTTACATGATCTCCCTCCACCATAAACTCCTTACACCTCTTTATTTTAAAATTATTTTCAGCTGCATCGGGAAGCAGTAGTAACTCCATGAAATTCGCTTTGGTTAAGTCGCCTACTCAGTGTCTTAGACTCGGCCTCTCCAGACTAGCGAGAGTCAAACCACTGCATCCCAGTGCTGCCAGCAGGTAGGTGGTCAGTGACAAGCTGCCACGCGAAGGAAAAGACTTTGGAAAGTGTTTTGCTTATAAACAGAGGGTGGGCAGCAAAAGCTTCATGGCATCGTCCGTTTTGGAGGACTGTTGTTTCTGTACATGCCTAATACTTTAATGCATTTTTGTGCTGCAAAATGCTAGGAATCCTTAAGTGCTGCTGAATAATAATAGTATTTAATCAAGGTGACATCTGGATCACCAGCTCTTTGATAAATTATACTCAGAGATGTGGGTTTGTGATAATTTTAATTCTCTGATATCTAAACTCTTGGCATTAAAATAGGCTAGATAGCACTGGTATGGATAGTGGTATGGAATCTGATATCTCAAATGAATTCGTAACACAAGTGAAAGTCACATTTAAATATTTCTTGGAAGAGTGAAGTTCCACTCCCTTCTTGAGAAGTTTGTCACCACTTTCTCAATATATGTTAATGTTTACATATCTTATATGTGGATTTTAATGATTCTTTTAATGTATTATAAATGTTTTTTAGAATGTTTTATTTAAAAAAAAAAATAAAATACGTTATGTAGTCTAATTAATCATATTACTTTATTCATTTTTAAAATCTCTTCTAAGTTTTGGCTACAGTCCTGCAAATATTTTTGCTTGTGCATGCTCTTATTGGAAGTCAACAGCTTCAGTCCGGTTCAGACCGAGGATTTTGCTTTCAGCTCCTCGCTCTTCGTTCAAGACCATTATACCATATGTAGTGGATTTTGTAAAGGGTTGAAGTGATCGTTACTGGGTAGTGAGACTGAGCTTTCAAACTGACTAGTCCACACTGTAAATGAATTCCTATCCAAGCATATTGGCTCTGTCAGAAGACACAGCAGATGCATTTGTCCCTGTATTGCTTAAGGGATCTGGCGGTGACTGAGTGAATTGCATGAAGAAAGGAATCTATAGCCCTGTTCAGGGGAATTACACAGGCAAGTGCTGCCTGAAGTAAAACTGTGGTATGACAAATTTGTTGTGATGCACCAGTTCATTACTGTGCAGCAAGACAGTGATTAAGAAAAGGATACATCAGCAATTACCACCTCAAAAACCATCATCCGGGTTCACAGTTCAGCTGGGAAGCCCCTCAGCAGCTGGCCCCTGGAGAGCTGTGGTAATTGGGAAGGTCCTACAACCTGCATAGGTGAGGCTTCAGGAGTCAGCCTGAGGGGCTCCTGCTTTATGGCAAGCAACAGACACCTTACATCAGTCAAAAGACTGGCACAAGCCCTGTGAACTTGCAGGCTGTTACGTTTCCATTATCAATCCAACCCAGAACGCTGGCCAGGTGCCCAGGATGAGACCGAACATCGAGCCACGTCCAGTCAACACACAATATGATGTTGTCCGCACGTTCACGTTGCCTTTCGAAGAGGTGGGTAAGTATAGAAGCAGTAATGAGTCGTGAGCAGCAATCAGCTATTTTCACTACATTCGGTCCTTTGATTACTGCTCATGAGAAGTATAAGACACAGTAATTAATAAAGGATTAGGTCATTATCTCATCTTTATTACTGTGAGGTTAATCAAACCCTGCAACAGGTTTGCCCAGAGGGGTTGCGGAGTCTCCAGCTGTGGACAGTCAATACCTAACTGGACACAGTCCTGGACAGTCTGCTGTAGGTGACCCTGCTTGAGCAGGGGTTGTCAGACTAGGTCATCTCAAGAGGTCCTTTCCAATCACAACCATTCCCTGATTCATGCCCACCACAGGATGCTTGGCCTGCTCTCCCCTCCTGGACAGCCCTCTTGTAGCAAAGGAGGCCATCCCTCACATCAAGGTCTGGTATGGCGTGTGTCCCCACCCCTCAATGCCTGCTGGGTTGCAGCCGATAGCAGAGCTAAAAGATCTTGTTGGCAAACACAGAGGCCAACCCCGTCTTGCCCTTGAGTTGGTAGGAGGCGCTTGGCCAGCCCCGGTTCTGTCACCTGGATGTCAATGTAGAGCTTCACCTGCCTCATCCAGGGACAAGTCGCTACCATGGCAAAGCACACACAGATTTGCTTTAGCAGTGTAACTACAGTTAAAGGATGGATTAATAACATTTTTTTTTTTCCTGATAGTGTTGTGCAACCGAAACACAGGTTGCTGGTATCTTGACAAAGGATCAGTATTAATAGCAGAATGATTCTGTGAGACAGTTGTATGTATATTCAGCCCATGCCGACCTATTCCATATTTCTATAGTGTTTATGCAAACCAAGATATTTAGTGTAGCAAATGTTATATTACCACTACTGCTAAAATCATGCAAACTATAGGTATTATTACAACAAGACTCGTATGTCAATCTTGGAGAACCTATATTAGTAAGAGAAAGATTACAACATTTGATGGCACTAGCATTTGGGGAGTTACATCGTCAGCGTTAGTTCGGTATTGCCTTTCGTAGCTGAAGGGTTGCCACGCAGTCACTCCAGGTGAAAAGATCAAGTTCACTACTGGACAGCGTTGATTTGCTTTACAGGTGTAATTATCTTGCCGTCAGGGTTTTGTACTGTTTTCCCAATTCCACTGTATGGAATTATTCATCTTTTCCATGTAGCATCCTGGGGTAATGACATCACCTAAATGGGCCATGATCAAAGGATGAAGATCATGGTCATGATCTGAATTAGTTGTTTCTGTAAAACAAAACTAGATAATCATAATATCATTCTCAAAGATAACATTTATGAGCAGGAACATATTCCCATTTTTCCCGCCTGGATTTGGTTACAGAGCTGGTATTATCTTTTCCAGTAGCTACAGCATCTTCTGGTTTGGGAAGACCATTAGGTCCTTGCACCCATACTTCAGCTCCGTTGTTAAAAGCGCTAGTAGATCCAAATCCTTTGTCACCTTGTACAGTTGTTATCTGCGGGGCTTGTCTTTTAACCACCTTGGATTTTAGAACAGGTAGAATTAAAATTTGGGCGATCCTATCCTGTGGCTGAATCAGCAGGTCTTGAATACCACTGTTTAGCAATGTAACTTTAATTTCTCCCCAGTAATCAGCATCAATGACTTGTATTCCTTTTTCATTTTGTGGTGTTGCAAAATCAAAAATTTTTTGTTTGGCTTTTGGCAATATTTCTTTATGACCTTGGTGCCACTGTATTCCTAAAAATGTGCCGGTCCTTGGATTTTGCTAGGGTTAATTGCCCACCCTTTTTCTCCCATATATTGAACTAACAATCATCAATATAATGCACTATTTGCATTGTGTCCAGCATTACTAATTGGTCCAGATGCTCAGCCACTCTTTGGTGGCAGATGGTGGGACTATGAACCCACCCCTGGGGTAAGCGAGTAGAATCATAGAATCATAGAATGGTTTGGGTTGGAAGGGACCTTAAAGATCATCCAGTTCCAACCCCCCTGCCATGGGCAGGGACACCTTCCACTAGACCAGGTTGCTCCAAGCCTCATCCAGCCTGGCCTTGGACACTTCCAGGGATGGGGCATCCACAGCTTCTCTGGGCAACCTGTCCCAGTGCCTCCCCACCCTCTCTGGGAAGAATTTCTTCCTGATATCTAATCTAAACCTCCCCACTTTCAATTTAAACCTGTTACCCCTTGTCCTGTCACTCCAGGCCCTTGTAAAAAGTCCCCCCCAGCTTCCTTGTAGCCCCTTCAGGTACTGGAAGGGGCTATAAGGTCTCCCCGGAGCCTTCTCTTCTCCAGGCTGAACACCCCCAACTCTCCCAGCCTGTCCCCATAGCAGAGGGGCTCCAGCCCTCGGAGCATCTCCGTGGCCTCCTCTGGACTCACTCCAACCAGTCGATATCCTTCTGATGTTGAGAGCCCCACAGCTGGATGCAGCACTCCAGGTGGGGTCTCACAGGAGCAGAGCAGAGGGGAGAATCCCCTCCCTCGCCCTGCTGGCCACGCTGCTCTGGATACAGCCCAGGATACGGTTGGCTTATGTTTCAATGAGAGCGCACATTTCCCTAATCGATTTGCTCAGTTCCTAGTGACTGTGGGTCAGAATCTGAGTAATGATCCATCTTCCACTGGACTTCACAAAAAGCTTACTTGATTTCATACGCTGTGTCCATTTTCCATCAGTTTCCTTGTGTCTTTCAAGCTTTATTGTTCTCAGAAGAAAGATAAAAAAAATAGTGCATTGATTCTGTTAGCTCCTCCCTCATGGAGCTTGTCAAGGGTACAAAAAGATTGCAGTGCTGAATAAAAGATGACTGAATTCTGTTCCCTTAATATTCTAAGCTTAAGCTGCTCCTTCTGCAAGCATTTTTGCTATTGGGAGGAGATTTCAGGTCAGGCTGATGTCAGAAGTCTGGAATCCAACTGTTACACCCCTCTGGCATCACCCAGAGGTGGATAACACTATAGGTCAGACCAGCAAGGCTGCAAGTGGAAATCTGGGAATCGGCATGTCATGAGGCAGTGCTCCAAGGGGCACTGGGAATTCAGTGCAAAACCAACACACTGTGCACAGAAGGTGTATGAGCCATCGGCAGGTTCTGGGCATCATTCGCTGTTCCTCCTGCTGCTCATGGTAAAGCACGCTCAGGAAAGCGATCGGATTAATGAGGGTTTTTTGATTGCACGTGCAGCCAAACTGATCCCTGGAGTCACTCCACAGAAGTTAATACATTACGCAAACGCGGAATCGGTCCACTTTTTGTCAATTTGTGTGTGTGGTAATGGTTCTTTGTTGATAAAACTGTCAGCAAGAATTACGGAAGCACAAAGCATGTTTTTCAACTGATAATCCAGAATTTGGATTGTAAAGCACAGAGAAAACAAATTGGGCTTGTTCAGCCTGGAGAAGAGAAGACTCTGGGGAGACCTTCTTGCAGCCTTCCAGTACTTAAAGCAGACCAATAAGAATGATGGGGCAAACTTTTTAACAGGGCCTGTAGCAACAGGACAAGAGGTAGTGGTTTTAAGCTAAAAGAGAGGAAATTCAGACTAGGTATTAGGAAGAAGTTTTGGACAATGAGGGTGGTGAAACACTGGAAC